CAGCCTCCGAGCCGCCCCTGCAGCCAGCGCGCTGCCCCTACAGCCCGCTCGCGGCCCGCGCGCCGCTTCTGCAGCCCGCTTGCTGCCATTTCAGCCCGCTCGCCGCCCGCTCGCGGCCCATGCGCCGCCCCTGCAACCCGCTCGCCGCCTGCTTGCGGCCCGCTCGCCGCCCTTGCGGCCCGCGCACCGCCCCTGCAACCCGCTCGCCGCCCGCCTGCGGCCCATTAGCCACCCTTGTGGCCAGCTCGCCGCCCCTGCAGCCTGCTCGCCGCCCTCTTGCGGCCCGCCCGCCGCCCCTTGCAGCCCGCTCGCCGCCCCTGAATCTCTTCGCGCTGTGGGGTCAAGTGCGAGAAATTGGTCCCTGACTGCACGAAGAGATTCAGGGAGGCGGGTGACTATGAAGTAGAGAGTGATGTACATTGGGGTGGGTTCCTGTCAAGGAACTCTGCTGGGAAGGCAGCGTGGTAGCGACCGTCGCTAGTGTGGAGGTGGGTGACGAGCTCCTCGACTGTGGCAAAGGCTGATAGCTCGGGAAACAGGTAGGGCAGTATAAGTCGGCCTAGAGCAGCAGTGGCAGGGGAAGAGTAACGAGCAACTATAGCGTCGTACAGGGCTTTATCAGTCTTGTGCTGGCCAAAGTGAGCGCGTTCGGCTAACGGCAGGTGGTTGCGAGCGGCTAAGCGAGCAGCTGTGTCACGGGTAAGCCACTGTGAGCGAGTCACACTGTCAGCTGTGGCGGGAGGGGCGAGAGAGGCTCCAGGCGTGTGGTCAAACAACGAAACGCTGTCTCTAGAATCGCTCAGTAGGTACAGCTGTAAGTCGTCGAGCCACGTATCGAACAGGATCGGACAACCCTCATGATCGAACGTGAGTGCACTGAGAGAAGCCATAGCGGGCAGAACAGGGTGGCGCGCAACCAGTAGAGAAGCACACACGTAGGGCGGCGCGCGAGCACGAGGGAAGTGCGCAGGGCAAGGCAGGGCGGCGCACGGCTAGGGCGGCCAGCTGAAAGGGCGGCGAGCGGGCTGCCAAAGGGCGGCGCGCGGGCTGCAACGGGTGGCGAGCGGGCTGCCAGAGGGCGGCAAGCGGGCTGCAAGGGGCGGCGAGCGGCCCGCAAGGGGCGGCGAGCGGGCTGCAAGGGGCAGCGAGGGGGCCGCAAGGGGCGGCGAGCGGGCTGCAAAGGCAGCGCGGCGGGCAGCAGGGCGGCGCGCGGGCAAGGCAGAGCGGGCAGCAGCAGGGCGGCGCGTGGGCTGCAAAGGGCGGCGCGCGGGCTGCAAATGGCGGCACGGGGGCTGGAAAGGGCGCCGCGACGGGCTGCAAAGGGCGACGCGCGGGCTGCTAAGGGCGGCACGGCGGCCAGCAGGGCGGTGCGACAGGCAGGGCAGGGCGTGGCAGGGCAGCGCGACTCGTGGGGCGCCGCTCTGTGGTGGACCCTAAAAAATCGATCCTAGAACAGGACCTGCTCTGAAACCATGTCAAAATACTGAACGAGAATGAATGCATTGAGCAGAAAGTTGGTACAAGTACTAACCCTAATTGGGTTGTACCCACTACAGCCTACACAAATATAAGCACTATAACATTTTGACATATATCTTTGTATCTCTTTGCTTTAATCAATTCATCTTGTTCTCACACACTAGTACAAGGTGGTTCACTCAATCCACTATTACGCTTCCGCTATATACATCACTACTCTGAGAGTTTAATCTTGAACGATCCTAAGGACATTTTCAGCCCAACACCTTGTATAACAAGCTGCCATCTTTTTCTCAATCTCGCTCATCTGTTTTCCTTGAGCCTTTGCTGCTTTGCCATATCTGGAACTGGAACACTTAGTAGATTTTCTCAGAGGTCCACTGGTGATCCCCGATTGATCCTAGGAAAGGATTACAGGCTCGTTGTCCTGGGGGGTTATGGGCGCACTGACCCGCTACTTAACAAGCCCTTTTATCCCAATGGTCTAGTGACTGGGATTCTTACATGGTATTAGAGCGAAGATCTCGGGCATCTTAAGGCGGAGGGGTGTCAGAGGCAGGGCTGATTTTATCAGGGTAATTACCCTGATTTCAGGGTGATTTCAGGCTTTCCACTTCGTGGAGACTGAAATTTCAGAGTTGTTGAATTTCCAGCCCCGATCCAATCAGAGTAATAGTTTAGCTATCCCTGATTTTGAGTACAGTGTAACAGACTAGGCTGTTAGTGGACCCTGACTTAACAGAGTATCGACTGTGTGGACCCTGACTTATCGAGAGGAAGTTTCTCGGAAGTTTCCTTCCGATGACCCCGCCTTGGATTGATTGCAGTGATCCCCCCACATGTGCATAATCCCCCCCCTTCCCGCTTTATCGAGACGAAGTTTCTTCGAAACTTCGTACTGATCGAAACTTCGAGACTTAATGGAGAGTGGGGATATTTTCCCCGACTTATCAAGAAGAAGTTTCTCGGAAGTTTCCTTCCGATGACCCCGCCTTGGATTGATCGCGGTGATCCCCCCACATGTGCGTAATCCCCCCCCTTCCCGCTTTATCGAAACTTCGTTCTGATCGAAACTTCGAGACTTTATGGAGAGTGGCGATATTTTCCCCGGTAACAAAGCGCGCGTTACTACTCTGATGTTCAGTTCTCGACCCTGAACAATCAGTGTTAACTACTTTACAACCCTGAGCAATCAGGGTACTGCTTTTCTGGAAAATGTGCACCCATAATAGAGGGGGAAAAATTTCACCGGAATCAGGGAAGCTTAAAATGAAACGTCAGCCCTGGTCAGAGGTCCACTTGTGATCCCCGATTGATCCTAGGGAAGGGTTACACACTTATTGTCCTGGAGAGTTATGGACGCACTGACCCGCTATTTAACAAGCCATTTTATCCCTGTGGTTTAGTGGTTGGGATTATGACAGATTTACCTGCCAGTTTTCAATGCATTCATGGCACAAGCTGGAAATTTATATAGCGTAATGGATGGGGTTGTTAATCTACCAGAATTCCGTCTCCCCTCTCCAGCCTGCCAAGGTGTATGCACGCACGTTCCATAAGAACCTGCCAGCATCGGCCTTCAAGGGGTGCTGTGTGTGCCCGCCACTTTCCAGCTTGCAGCTTAAGCCCCCCCGATAGTGACGCCCTCAACCCCAACAAGGGCGATGACAACAAGCGATTTCCTAAGAAGCACTGCTGCCTTCTCTTCCACGTGCTTATTGTGTGATAAGGAGACAGCTACGAATGCCATACTTCATTTCATTGTCTCCACCGTATGCTTGATTTGCGAGCGATTATCTCACTAGAGTAGCATCCTTGTCGATGTTGTGTGCCCAAAACAGTACATATCAGTGGTTATAATAAACTGACAAATGGGATTTTTTTTTATTTGAGCAACTGAGTGCCCCATATGGGGGTCATGTTGTTATACCGGTAAGACATGAACATGTTGAAAACCATTTCCTAAAAGAATTTCGAGCTACATTTGTGAGGTAAAAATGGCAACTGTGAATTGCAAGAACGAATTCAGGCTCTAACGATGTCTGGGCCAAGGATATCGTTGCAAAGAAATATCGGTCCCACGTGGCATCCATCCTGCCCACCCAGTCAGCGCCGTGATTCCTGCCATAGATTTGCGCAAGCCCAAGCGAGGTCCGACGTGGCCAAGTTCACACCAAATCTGCCAGTCTAGATGCTGCTGCCCCGAAATCAGCTCTGCTGATCTCGAGATGCACATGAACCACTCTTTTCTGAAGCTGTCAATCACTTTCTCTCCCACAAATCTCTGTTTTCACATCTGCTGCTCAACCATTCCTTTTTTCCCACATCCCTTACCGCTTTTGAATATAGATTCTAACGTTTTCAATTTATGGCGTAGACTCGATCAGCATCAAGCCTGGCGGTAGATGTCTGTCGGGACTTGCAAGAAGCTGCATAGGCCCACGTGAAGGTCTAATAGGAGCCACACGCTGAGTCACTCAGTGTGACAAATCTCCCACATCCAGATCCTAGGTTGCTGCCGAGCCAATATCATATGCTTGCAAGGGGCTACGTGTAGAAATCTCCCCTAGAGCGCACCCTCGATGGCTGACGATCCTCCCTCCACCGAGACGCCCGGTATTTTTTGGACGGCGATCCAAGCATGGTGGGTTTCCGCACTGCAACTGGCGACTACGGAAGATGGATTGAATGATGACTCAGCTGAGCCAAGCTTTGGCGGAGCAGTGGGAGCAGCAAGTTTATGGGGGCCCTCGCTTTTCCCCCCACCCGCGAGGGGAGGTGGGGGAAGAGTAGGCAGACGAAGAAGTGAGGTGTGAGAAGCTCATTTCCCTCGTTTCCCTTCTCACAGACGACGGGAGAATCCGCAATACGCTAGATTGCGTCACGTGCTCGCGACTAGATCTTCCCCGCCTTAGCCGATCGAACGAGATAGCGGCATCCGATGTCATGATGACGTACATCGCTATGATACACCAACCTCACATCGCGACGGAACGGAGTGACCTCGCCTCTCCGCCTCATGCCTCTTCTCTCCCAATGGATATCTGCATCGGGAGATCTCCTCCTCCTCCGCGCGTCCCCCAGAGATTTTCAGACCCCAGGCGGACTCCCGCTCCGCCGCCCTGCCGCCTGGCCGCGTTCCCCCCCAGCAGTGCGCGCAGTTTTCCGTCATTTCGGTCGTTCTGCCCACACGGACGGTCACCTGCAGCAACCATTGCTGCTCCGTCGCTGCTTCCTCAGGCGCTCCCCCCTCCTCCGGCAGAATCTGGGCCTCGTCACATGCACCATAAGCGCGTAACATTGGTTGCCGCGCAAGGTAGTTCTTCAATGATTCAGACACCGCCTCCTGAATCAGACAGCCTAAGGTAGTAATCGCAGTAGTCAGTGTGAAGGCTTCGAGTGATTCTCCCGCAAAATCCGGATTGTACTCCGCGTTCCCGTTGGTCTGACTCTGAAACTTTGCGAAACCGATCCGCTTCGTTTCCCTGCGTTCGTCGTTTCTTCGTTCTCCGCACGAAATCATGAGCCCAAGGCCATCTTTATGTAAGGACCGCAGCCCGGAACCTCCGCGGCTGGCGGGAGTTGCGCCGACCTTCCCCCTGAAGCCCAGGAGTCCCGCGAGGAAGGGGAAAGAGCCAAAGAAGCGCAACGAGCGCGCGGGGAAGGGCTTCAAGGGCGGCCCGCAGAACGCGCTGTTCGCGTTCCGCGGAGTGCGGCAGCGCAGCTGGGGGAAGTGGGTGGCGGAGATCCGCGAGCCGCGCAGCAAGCGCCGCCTGTGGTTGGGGTCGTTTCCGCGCGCGGCGGACGCGGCGATGGCGTATGACGTCGCAGCAAGGCGACTGTACGGCTCTGGCGCGAAGCTCAACTTTCAGCAGGCAGCAAATGCGACTGGCGCCAGTGGCGGCGATGTCGCTTGCAGCAGCGGCAGCGGCGGCGGCGGCGGCGGCAGCAGCGGCGGTGGCGACGGTGCTGCTAGACTACTGTATGGGTCTGGTGGTGATGCGGAGTCAAATCTCGCTGCAGATGCAACGAATGGGGACAATGTAGCCTGTACTACTACCAGCAGCCGTGACGATCGTGCTATCAGTCTTGAGGTCGTGGTTGGTGCTGACGCTGACGTTGACGTAGATGTTGACGTGGGCAGTGACTGCAAGTCAAGCGAAAGCTGCGAGGCGACTGAGGTTACCACGAGTGGTGGGGAAGAGGCGAGTGACTCTATGGATTGTGACAATGGCAACGGCAACAATGAAGACCCGATCACACACTACTTTAACTTATTTGAAGGCCTCCAATTAAAGTCGCCTCAGAGTTACTATGGGGCGGCGTCAATATATGCTGCATTTACCCTTCCGCCTGCCCCTGCCCCTGCCCCTGCCCCTTCTCCTGAACCTACCTCTGGTTCAGCCCATGCTACTGCTGCCGCCGCCGCTGCTGGTGATGCTGGTGCTGCTGCTGCTGCTGCTGCTGCTGGTGCTGCTACTGTTGGTGCTACTGGTGTGCAACGTTCGATTGATGCTGCCACTCTCGCAGCTATGCTCGACAGCTCACTGCTAACATCCCCATTTCTCCCACACGTGGCATCGACTGTTGCGATGAGTCTCAACAACACACATGTGCCTCGCACCACGTCCCCATGGCTTGAAACACACATGACACCGATTTTCGAGACGACTCAAAAATCGTTCCTATGGCCGCCGCACGTGGCAACACCAATAATACCATCATCCATACCATTAACCACACTCCCCACCATACCATCAACCGTGTCACCACACATGTGGACATCCAGACCATCCCAGATGCCTTCACCCATGCCTGCACCGTATTCTGCTTCTCTTCTTGCCTCCCATCCTGCTTCTCTTCTTGCCTCTCATCCCAACACCTTCTCACTGCCTCGGTCCACTCCTCCTCCTATCCGGGGTTCTCCCAACACCCCCCTGTCATTCCCACCGCCTTCGCGCTTTGCATTCCCACAGTCACACATGCGAATGCCAGCACAGAACCAGCGCCAACGGTTGATACAGACGCTACAGCACCCACAGGTGTTATCCCAGGCGCTACAGCACCCACAGGCGCTACAGCAACAGCAGCTGCTTTCACATGAGCTGCAACGGCCACAGGTGCTCTTCCACGCGCTACAGCACCCAACAGCGCTACAACAGCAACTGCAGGCGCTACAGCACCCTCAGTCGCTACAGCACCCGCAGGTTCGACAGCCACCACACGTGCTACAACCGCCAGAGGTGTTTTCACACATGCTGCAACAGCCACAGGTCCCCTCCCACACGCTACAGCAGCCAGAGTTTCTATCAGCGCCGCTACAACCGCCACAAGACTTGATGCGGATGTTACAGCCGTCCACCGAAATGGCTGGACTCACGGAAAGCGGAGCTGGGGCACTTCGGGACCCGCCAAATATTATGTTGCCGGCACAGCCGCTACAGCTGACACAGACGCTGCCACAGCCATTGGCACAGGTGATACTACAACCGCCTCAGTCACGGGCACATGCGCTACAGCCGTCACAGCTGCTGGCAGGGGCGCTACAACCACCGCTATTGCAGGCACAGTCTCAACAACAAGCACCTATTTATTCATCACAAAAAGCGCTACAGCCGCCACAGCTGTCGGCACATGTGCTACAGCCATCACTGCTGCCCCACATGCCAGAGCCTCCACAGGCGCTACAACTGCCACAGCTGCCGCCACAGGCGCCATCACTCCCCATGGGGTTGCCGATATCACCGGGCTATCAGGACTTGCTGATTGGCCAAGAGATTGCGCGCCTGTTGGGGAACCCACAAGTGGAAAGCATGACCGGGCGTCAAGAGAAGGCTGGTATGCTGCTGGGTGGTTCGCGTACGGCCCAGATTCAAGGGCAGTCAGGCCTGCTGCTGCCTGGTGACCTGAGCGCGGTCAGGCCAATCAGGGTTGGAGATTCGAGGCAGCAGCAGCAGGATGTGCATCAGAAAGGGATGGGAATGCAGGGAGGTTTAGGCCGGGAGGAGCGAGTTTGGGAGCATGAAAGGCTGCTGCTGAAGGAAGATGAGATGCTGTTGAGGGAGCATGAGAAGGTGATGCAAGAGGTGCTGCTTTTTCAGGAAACCTCAAGTCACGAGACGGATTTTCCCGCAGCTCAAAACGTGCAGCAAGGAGCAAGCCTACAGGACATTCTACGAGAGCACGAGATGAAGGTGGTACAAGAGGTGATCCTGTTGCAGGAAACACGGATGCTGTCACTGCAGGCCTCTTCCTTGTCCCCAGCTCTGTCCCAAGGCATGCCGGACAGGCCGGACAGGCTCAGGTTCGGCACTCCCGAGCCTACTAGTGGAGCGCGTAACAAGGTGGTTCGTGGGAGTGGCTGCAGTATTGGAGGCAGCAGTAGAGGTAGCCGACTCGATAGCGTCGGCAGCAGCAGCAGCAGCAGCAGCAGCAACAGCAACAACAGCAGCAGCACCACCACTACGACCACTACCACCACTACCACAACCAACACAAGAGGTATGGATGGCTTTGGCAGCCGAATCGGTGGTAGATGGATTTCCAACAACGCTGATGGTGCTGGTACTGGTGCTGGTGCCCGAAGGAAAAGCGGTGTGAGCAGCAGCAGTGGCACCTTCCTTGCTACTCAAGGCGTGGGGCCTTATGCCCTGCAAGGAGCAGCAACGAGTTCACCCACGGTCGATGCAGCAGCAGGAGCAGCAGCAGTAGCTGCGTTGATGGGAACAGAGGCTTTAAGAGCGTCAACAGCAGCAGCAGTGGCAGAAGCAGAGGCAGCTTTAGCGGAGTATGGGGATCCGATGCTGTTGTATCTGGAAGCGTGGAGAGATACGAGTACTGGTGGTGTTCCATGGGAGCATGGTGGCGGCTCTGACTGGTGTTAACTTACTGTGTGAGGCGTAAAAACAAGCTGATGAGTTTACGTACGTTGTACATATAATATTGTACACTGTACATTGTACCTGATATTGTGACATCATAGTTGTCTCCTTGTACTGCACTATCCCAACAAGCAGGAGCTTTAATCTACCCCACCTCCCTCACCCTTGCCCCTCACAAGCCTTGGCTTGGTGGGTTCAACGTTCCTCACCTGCCTTGATCTTGTTGGAAACAATCGGTCCTAAGCGCCTCTGTCGTGTCGAAACACTAAGGCACAAGCGAAGCAAAGCATATCGAGGCACCAGCGAGTCAACCCTCGGAGGTTGAAGTAACTGCTGGAGGTTACGCGAAAGTCAAAGGTCAGCGACCTTTGACCTGACAAGTACAGCGCGACAGCAAGGACACACAACTGACTCGCTACAGAGCAGTTGCCCGAGTCGTCACTGTATCGAACCGCAACAGCAACAAGTAAAACAGTTATAACCGCATCCTTTCATATTCCTTGTACTCTTATATAATCTTGTATCTCCTTGTTTTAATTAACTTACTTTGCCCTCACATACCAGCGCAAGGTGGTTCAAGGACTTCATTTAAACGCTTCCGCTACTACATCACTCTACCCAGAGTTTAACCCTACCAAAGATCCTAAGGGGCACTCAGCCCAACATGGTATGAGAGCTGGTTAGGGTTAAAATTATTTCTCCTTAACACCTAATACACCAAGAGACATGTCTACCAGAAAGGAGAGGAGCTCCTCCAACGGCTCTCCTGGTACTACTCCTACTCCACCTCCTGCCTCTGGCCTACAGACAGAGGAAGGCACAACAACGAGACCGGCAGCTGGGTCTACTGAAACACCCGCAAACCAAGGCGCGGGCTTCGATCCAAGCATGATGGAGAAGTTCTTCTCCTTCATGTCCTTCTACGAGCAGCATCAGCAAGGAGCACCTGCGCAATCAAACAACAGCAACAACAACAACGTGACGCCCATGAGTCTCGATGGCTCATCCTACGCACGCGGAAATCTGTCAGAACATTTGTAGCTTATGCTGTTGTGTAGGCTATAGTGGGGTATCCCATAGGGGGTACAACCAATTAGGGTTTCATATTTGTACTCACTTCATTTCATAGTTCATTCATTCTTGTTCTAATCTTCTCATGGTATCGAGCAGGTTCCCCCTTGGGAACTGTGCTTAGGGCCCACCACATCGATTTTTTTTTCCTGCCCGAAGCGCGCTCAGCCCGAGTCGCGCTCCGGGCCCTCACTTCGTCGAGCCGCCCTAGCGGCCCTTCACTGCGGCCCCGCCGCCTGTCTCAGCGGCCTCGCCGCCCTTTTCTGCGACCCCGCCGCCTCTCTCGTTGCGGCCCCGCCGCCCTTCACTGCGGCCCCGCCACCCGTCTCAGCGGCCCCGCCGCCCGTCTTCGCGGCCCCGCCGCCTCTCTCCCAGCGGCCCCGCCGCCCCTTTTGCAGCGGCCCCGCCGCTCCTCTGCAGCGGCCCCGCCGCCCTACCCAGCGGCCCCGCCGTCCTACCCAGCGGCCCCGCCGTTTCTCTGCAGCGGCCCCGCCGCCCGTCTTCGCGGCCCCGCCGCCTCTCTCCCAGCGGTCCCGCCGCCCCTTTTGCAGCGGCCCCGCCGCTCCTCTGCAGCGGCCCCGCCGCCCTACCCAGCGGCCCCGCCGTCCTTCTGCAGCGGCCCCGCCACTTCTCTGCAGCGGCCCCGCCGCCCTATCTAGCGGCCCCGCCGCCCCTTCTGCAGCGGCCCCGCCACTCCTCTACAGCGGCCCCGCCGCCCTACGTCAGCGGCCCAGCCGAGCCGCCCAGCAGCAGCGCAGCCGAGCCGCCCAGCAGCAGAGCAGCCGAGCCGCCCCGCCGCCGAGCCGCGCTGCAGCCGAGCCGCCCGGCCGCCCACCAGCCGAGCCGCCGTGCAGCCAGCCGCCCAGCTGCCGAGCCGCCCAGCCGCCGAGCCGCCCAGCTGCCGAGCCGCCCTGCAGCCGAGCCGCCCGAGCAGCCCTGTCCGGTGAGCACAGACCCTCTGTCACTGCGTGCTCTTCCCCTACTCCTTGCACTGCTGGTCTACTGCTGTCATGGCTACCCCCAGTGCCCTCACTTTTGACGCTGAGGGTCGGGCCATTGACTTTGAGGTCTGGGTAGATGACCTACAGCTGTTCTTACAGTGCGATAGGGCGGACGGCCTCTCTCTCTTTGACCTCACCTCTGGCGCTTCCCCTGCCCCTGCTACTGATGCTGACGCCACTGTTCGCTCCCAGTGGGCCACGCGCGATGCTGCTGCACGTCTTGCTGTGCGTCGCCACCTCCCTACCTCCGAGCGTGCGCACTTTAGTCAGTACAAGAGTGCTCAGACCTTGTACGCCGCTGTAGTCGCGCGCTACTCCTCCCCTTCCACTGCTGCACTGAGCCGTCTCATGCTGCCGTACCTCTTCCCTGACCTTGCTTCTTTTCCCACCGTTGCTGACCTCATTACGCACCTCCGCACTAGTGACACTCGCTACCGCGCTGCACTTCCTGCTGACTTCTGCACCGCGAACCCCCCCCCCATGTACATCACTCTGTACTTCCTAGTCACTCGCCTCCCTGACTCCCTTCGAGTAGTCAGGGACCACTTTCTCTCAGTCTGTCCCACCACACTCACTGTAGACCTCCTCGAGAAGGCCCTCCTCGCGATAGAAAAGAGCATAGTCGCTGTAGGAGCCTCTCGAGGTGACCCGCGCACCCCCATCTTTGAGGGGTGTTCTCCCTCCCCCCTGCTGCCCTCTGTTGCCTCTGCTGCTTCGGCCGACCTCCTTGGTCTTGAGTCGGTCGGTGCGGCGTCTGCCCCTAGCGGGAGACGCCGCTCTGGCAAGGGCAAGGGGGGCAAGGGAGCTGGAGGAGCGGGCGGTGGAGGTGGAGGTGGAGGCAGTGGGGGGAGTGGGGGTAGCGGTGGAGGTGGAGGTGGGGGTGGGGGGTTCGGTGGCGGCAGTGGAGGCGGAGGCCGCGGCGGCGGTGGCGGTGGTAGCGGAGGTGGCGGAGGAGGCGGCGGTGGAGGAGGCGGTGGAGGCGGCGGCGGCAGTGGAGGCAGCGGAGGCGGTGGAGGCGGTGGGGGTGGCGGTGGAGCTGGTCGCGGGTCTTTGCAGAGGAGTGGCTCAGGTGGTGGCTCGCGCCAGCAGCAGCAGCGTGGTCGTGCGACCCTGTCCCCTCAGCAGCTCCGTGAGTGGTACACTGCACGCCAGCGGGGTGGGGGTTTTGGTCCGTGTACCTACGTCCTGCGCACCGGCGACCGTGCGGGTGAGCAGTGTGGGGGTGCGCACCCCACTCCGCGCTGCTTTGGCCGTCTGACGGACGCATGGCGTCACCAGTTCCCGGAGGCCTCCGAGATCCCTCGCTGGGACGAGCTGTCTAGGGCGGGGGTTGCCATCTTTGATCTGGACTTTGATGCTATTCTCTCTGCCATGTATGCTGTGTCTATTAGTGATGAGGGTGACTGTTACCGGTGTTTCCAGCCCGATCCGGGCATTGAGACTGCTGCTCTAGGTACTGGTGAGGCTGCTGCCCTAGGTGCTTACGACGCTGCTGCTCTAGGTGCTGGTGTGTCTGCGTCCTCAGGTACTGGTGAGTCTGCTCTCTCAGGTACCGCGTCGGCTTCGGCCTCCCTCACCTTTACTCTTGACTCTGGGGCGTCTCGCTCCTTCTTTCGGGACCGCACCACACTCACGCCGCTTAGTCGGCCGGTTGCGGTGTCTCTGGCTGACCCCTCTGGGGGTCCGGTCCTGTCTCGTTTCTCCACAGTCCTCCCGTGTCCGGCGGCTCCCTCTGGCACCCTGTCTGGTCTCTACCTCCCCTCGTTCTCGACGAACCTGGTGAGTGGTGCTGACCTACAGGATGCGGGTGTCCACCAGTTCACTCCTGCACGTCGGCGAGTGACCCACTGTACAGAGGCTGGCATAGGCCGACACCTGGCTACGTTCACCCGTCAGCCGGGGTCGAGCCTGTACACTCTGACCACTGCGTCTCCTCCAGTTGCTGAGTCTGGTAGGGTAGCTACGTCGGGTCAGGTGTTTGCTGCGACGTCCAGGTCTGGCCCTGAGTCTGCCCCCTGTTCGTGTCGTCTCCTGTCTCACGAGACTCTCCTCTGGCACCACCGCCTTGGCCACCCCTCTCTGCTTCGGCTCAGAGGTATGGCCTCCCGTCTTCTTGTGTCCGGTCTCCCCCGGTCCCTCCCTCCCCTTCCTCAGGGCCCTGGCCCTGCCTGTGTCCCCTGTGTCGAGGGGCGCCAGCGTGCTGCCCCTCACTCCTCCCAGTTTCCTCCGACAGAGGCCCCGTTGCAGACACTTCACATGGACGTGTGGGGCCCAGCCCGCGTCCGTGGACAGGGTCACGAGCGCTACTTCCTGCTCGTTGTTGACGACTACTCGCGTTACACCACAGTCTTCCCCTTGCGCAGCAAGGGTGATGT